TGACTCAGTAGCTCCAGGAGTAGAAACTGTAGATAACCTTTAGAGATTAACCACTCAGTTCTGCTTCTGTACTATCTGCTTTTGCAAGATAGGGCCACATTCCTACGTCCAGCAGGATGTGGCTGGGAATGACCCTGCCGGCTGTTCCCAGCGTCTAGAATTTAGAATTTAGAACAAAGGAAAATTCTTGTGGTTTAGACCTTTAAAAGGACTGCCTACACCTGAAACAGTGCAGTCATGTGGACTGCACCTGCGTGGGGTGCTCTCTAGGCCGTCCTGGCCAGTCCAATATATCCTTGCCTGCTTTTTTTTAATCAATTAGCAGCCTCTGGTGGTCTTATTTTGAACCCAGGGTTCAACCCCACAACACCAAGAGCTGGAAGGGCCTCCTACCTCGGCACTCGGGGGGCGCGGCGCTCCAGGTCCCGGTGGCCAGGCACCGGAGCTCATGTGCCCCGACCAGGAGGAAGCCTTCAGCACAGGCGAAGCTGCAGGTGGACTGGAACCCCGAGGTGCCAAAGGGGTGGACGCACTCCACCCGGGCCTGGTTTGGAGCCGGAAGATCCTGGCACCGCAGTGCTGAGGGTGAGGGAGGGAGTGAGTGAGTGAAACGGCGGTACACACCTTCTCGTGCTCCCGCCCCTTAGCCACGTTCCTGCCAAGAACAGGGGCTCTGAGTGGGCCGTTTACTTACCCTGGGGAGCGAGAAAGTGCCCTTTCCTTGCGAGGGGGCTGAGGAGGAGGCAGGGCCCTTGTGAACCGGCTGAGCAATACCTATCTGTACGTTTCAGAATCTCTTCCCTTTGGGCCCAAGGACCTAGGCTACGTGTGCAATCCACATGCACATCGAGACCTCAGTTCATAGACTGCTTTAGCATGGCCTTAGCTATGAGGGCAACATACTGATAAAACAAAAAGATAAACGCCACGCATCAGAGGCTGAACATGAATGGTGGACGAAACCAGTTTGGCTCAGTGGATAGAACGTCTGCCTGTGGACCAAAGGGTCCCAGGTTCGATTCCGGTCAAGGGCATGTACCTTGGTTGCAGGCACATCCCCAGTTGGGGGGGTGCAGGAGGCAGCTGATCAATGTTTCTCTTTCATCTGTGTTTTTAACTATCCCTCTCCCTCTCTGTAAAAAATCAATAAAATATATATTTTTTTAAAAGAAAGAAAGAAAATGAGTGGTGGTGGGTCCGTGGGAGGAACATGGAGGTCACCACAGAGGGTGTGTTTCCCTGGGACAGAGACGGTGGTGCTAACAGAGTGATGTTCGGTGAAGAAGCAGAATGTAAGTGGCATGCCCCCTGCTCCGTGGTCTCAGTCATAGGACGCAGAGGGTCAGGAGAGAACACGTGACGCTACAGAGGCCGTGTCTCACCTGTGCAGCCGGGACAAGCACCTAACAACCCCAAGGCATTAGACTAGCGAGCTCTCTCCACATCGCCTGGGTGTGACTGGTAGGGGCAGCCATAGCCGTGGCGGCAGCCGTAACGGGCAGCAGTAATGCCATCACGCTCTGCACCAGACGCAGACCGGACTGTCTGGGCAGAGACACTGGGAGCTCAGTGGGGCTCTGAGACACCTCTCAGAGGCGGAGAGAATAAACACGCAGCTGTTTCTTCTGGATGTTTCCGCCTGGAGACAGGAGTGCCTCCCGCAATCGCTAAGATAGGAGGAGCGCGTCCAGGGCTCCCCCATGACTCCCCTGCGACCCCATCACCGTGCTCGGCCATCTCTCCCACCCCCCTCCCCACTTTTCTCTGCTTGCATGCCACTTACACTCTGCTTCTTTCACTTTTCTCCTTGTGGTAAAATACACATAAAATAAAGTTTACCCTTTACCACGTCACCGTTTTTAAGTGTGGGGCTCAGCGGTACTGAGCACATTCCGCAGACCATAACCCCCACCATCTCCTCAACGATTCTCGTCCCCGTGAACTGAAACTCCACACCCGTCACTTAGTAACTGCCCACGGCCCCTGGCCCTGCCCCTGGCAACCGCCACTCCGCCTGTGTGTCCATGACGCTGACTGCCCTAGGACTTCGTACAGTGGACACACGCATATCTGTCCTCCTGTGGCCTGCTTCTCTCTCAGCACAGTGTCCTTGAGGCTTGTTCATGGTGTGGCATATGTCAGCATTTCCTCCTTTTGGAGGCTAAATAATATCCCATTGCGTGCTTATGCCACATTTTGTTTATCTATTCCTCTGTTGGTGGGCACATGGGTGGCTTCCACCTTTTATTATGAATAACGTGCTATGGACATGGGTGTGCGAACCTCTTTTGAAGGCACTGATTTCAAACCTCTGCCTGTTTCTAAGTCAGGCTCAGGGATTGACATAAATGGCCCTGAGTGCCCAGCACCCATCCGGGTAAAGCTCTCAGCAGCTTTAAGATAACACACGGCCACTGCTGCGGCAGGCAGGCCGGGCAGAGAGAAACACGCCCATGTGACTGAGGATGCTGAGCCTCAGAGAGACCAAAGCTCGTTGGCAGGAAATGACCAAACTAGACTGAACGCTTCATCCATTATTCTTCTGCCGCCCCATGCCCTTCCTCAGGCACCATCCCTGCCTCCCAGCTCTGTCTCCTTCACACCCACCCACCCACACATGTTAATCAACGCAGCCCGGCCTTTCTTACAATATGTGGTGATGACCAGACCCTGAGACTGGATTTGCTCCCATTTCCTCCCTCGCGTCCAGCACAGAGGACTCGGCACCTAGTAGGTTCTTTGCGACTAAATGAATGACAGTGCACATGCTAAAAGCAGATGCTGAGCCTTGAAGAGGCTGAGGGACACAGAGGGAGGCTGCAATGTGATATCCCCGTACCTTGACAGAGCGGGGCCGGCGCCGTCCACCGCCCCGCGTCGGCACACCAGACGGTGTCCGCTCCCTGCAGCTCGAAGCCCTCGGCACAGCGGAAGCGGCAGGTGGCGTTGTAGGGCAGTGCCCCGGAGGACGGGGGGCAGTCCACGCTCCCGTGGGCCGGGCGCTCCGGGGGCTCGCACGCGATGGCTGGAGGGAGAGCATCAGGTCTGAAGCTGCTCACGGAGGTTTTTCTAGGACGAGCCCTCTGGAGACACCGCATCTTCCCCCCACGTGGCCAGGATGTTCAGCAGCTCAGGCCTCACTTCCCAGGGGGAACCTGCCCAGGACACCGACCTGGCCTCCTTGCCCGGGCCGCTCACCTGCCCCTCAGGTCTCAGACGAGACCTCACTTTCTTTAGGAACCTCTCTGCCCGCCACTGGGGCAGGAGCTGCCCCCACAGCCCCTGGTCCTGCTGTTCGCCCAGGATGGTAACCCTGCCCCTCGGAGCGCTGCCCCCGAGGCCGGAGTCTGTCCTTCCTTGTGTAGCTCAGAGCCGGGCAGTGTGGGTGCATCAAGGCCAAGGGTGCCCTTGAAATACTTGTTGGCATTACTTGTGGAAGAGGAAACAGAGCAGGCTGGACTTTCAGGGGAAGCTGGGGCGCACAGCTTACTGCTGACTCTATCATCCACCCCATGAAGGTGTCCTGAGGGTCGTGCCTCCGGACGCAGGAAGCCGTCCCATCAGGCCTCAGCTGCCGAGTGCAGCCGCTGAGGCCCTGAGTGCAGTCAAGCCCGGAGGCCTCGGGTCTGGGAGACGGGCTTCCTCATGCCCGTGCCCCCCCTTCCCCCAGGCGGTTTCGTCTCCAGCTGGTCCTGCGTGCCCGGGTCTTCTTCAGAGTCAGGACCACCCTCACCCTGGGCTGGGACTTCCGGTTGGTCATCACAGAACTGTCTCCCCAGGTGGTGGGTAAGCAGCTGCCTCCCCAAGCGGCAGGCGGGGCTGGGAGGGGCGGGGTTGGGGGCTTAGAGGGCACTTCCAGTGTGGGAAGAGCCAGGCCCCCTAACTTTCCCATTTTTATGTTATTTTAGAGAAGCAAATCAAAAGGACCAGCTTAATAATACTCGCCCCCACGTCCTCCTTCTTGTACTCTGTCCACTTTGCAGCTAACAACGGGAGACAGGGCCCTGGGTAGTGCTTTTGCCTGAGAACCCGGACCTAAGCTGAGTATCTCACTGGACAGACACCAGCCACGAAAACCATGGTCGATGGGTGACACCCCAACCAGCGCCCCGCATCCACCGCAGGCCCTCGCTCTCTGCCAGGCTGTGCGATGGAGCGTGCTCCTCCCCCTCCTCTGGAGGTTCCCGGGGTCCGCGAGGAAGGGGGAATGGGATCCACGCACCTACACACCGCGGGGGCTGATCCGTCCAGGTTCCCGAGGCCAAGCACGCCAGCTCGCGGGGCCCGTCCAGCGCGTAGCCTTCGGCGCAGTGGAAGCTGCACCGGGAGCTGAAGGAGAAGCTGCCCAGAGGGTGGCTGCAGTCCATGAGCACACGCGGAGGGAGCTCCAGGCCCCCGCATGCCCTCACTGTGGGGACAAAAGTCCAGGTTTCCATCACAGGCTAACGGCGAGGCCAGGCTTGCAGAGAGCCGGAGCGGTCTGCACAACCCTCTCACCCAGTGCCCCGGCTCCTCGCCCAGCCTGGTGCTCCTCGGTGTGGGAAATACGCACTCTACACACTTGGCCTTCGTTTTGCTTCCCTTTTACCTTTTGAGATTTTATGACAAACTAAAGGCTTGGTGCACGAATTCGTGCACCAATGGGGTCCCTCGGCCTGGCCTGTGGGATCAGGCTGAAACCAGCTCTCCAACATCTCCCAAGGGGTTCCAGATTGCTAGAGGGCACAGGCCAGGCCGAGGGACCTGGTGCGCCATCGGGGCAGGGAGAGATGCAGAAGGTTGGCTAGCCAAGGAGGAACCGTGGGAGTGCTCTAAGGCGTGTCCAGCCCATCTAGCTCAGTCCCAATCAGCTGGACCACAGCAGCAAGCTAACCTACAGGTAGAAGTGTCTGCCCCCTGTGGTCAGTGCACGTCATAGCGAGTGGTTGAGTGACCTTAGCATAATATGCTTTGATTGGTTGAATGGCCAACTGGACAACTGAACACTCGGCATATTAGGCTTTTATTATATAGGATGTTCTCCCTATCGATACAGTGTTTTTGACCCAGAGTGTGTGTCTCAGGGAGCTTGAGTCAGGTGGAGGGACAGGTGTAGAGAAAGCACAAGCCCAGGACCCCCGGGGCCTCACCGTATTCACATTCTGGTCCGTAGAACCCGAGGTGGCAGGAGCAGGTGTAGTTCCCGATGGTCTCCACGCACTCCCCCTGCTGGCTGCAGGACGTGTCCTGGCAGGAGGCTGCAGGGCCAGAGGGGCAGAGTGTGGAGAAAAGCAGGTCCTTATTCCAGCCACAGCCTCTCGGGTGAGACTGTGCTGGCCACGCCACGGGCCCTGGGAGAGCAGCCCGTTTCCCGGGGAGGGAGCCACATGGCTCCAGCACAGGCTGTGCTTCATGTGGACACAGTGACAATGGGAGCCACAGAGAGAAGGGTACACAGAGGCTCCTCCGTGTGCTACCGAGCAGCTTGTGGCTTCCCAGCCAGCGGCACTCAGAGTGCCGTGCTCATCCGGGACCTGTGACAGGTGTCCCGGCACGGAGGCTGGGAACCACGTGGAGTCACATGTATGACCTCAGTCCTGGCTCTGCTGCCTACCAGTGACCTTCCTGTGACCTCAGGCAAGTCCTGCTCGGAGCCTATGCTGCCCAGGTCTTCCACTTTTTGCCCATCTCAAATCTCTGCCCGAACCACGTGGTGACAGAGCTGAGGAGCCACAGGAGGCGTCCAGGCCTGCTCCCGGTAAAGGGCAGACAGACAGCTTTATGAGCAGCTGTTTCGCAGGTCTAACTGCCGGGAATGGGCGCTGCAGAGCGGCTGACCTGCCGGCCTCCTCACCGAGTCTGTGCCCGCGTGGAGAAGGGCCAGCGTGGCTTTCCTGCAGGAGGCTCTGTGAGGGGTGTGCCTGCGCGGTAGCCGGAGGGTTCCTGGGATAACTGATGCCAGCGGAGGCTGAGAATGTTTTCATTCCTGTCTTATTATGAGGTCATAGCTGGGCAAGGTCTGTGGCCAGACTGCTTTCTGGTGGTGTTTCCTGTGCACTGAGCCCCGGCCCCACGTCGGTCCACTTTGGGCTCCACCACAAGAGGAAACCCATAGGTCACCTCCGGGGCTATGCAAGGTGATCTCTATGTTTCCGCTCAGCTCTGAGATGCTCCGAGTCCCGGAGCCATGTGGGAGTTCCCATGACAACCAGAGAGCTTGGTGACGCTGCACGGAGGCACTGGGAAGGGTCATGAAAAGAAGGCGCAGGAGGCAGCAGGAGCTGGTAGAGGAGGCGTGGTCCTTGCCCTCCCTCCTGCCCAGCGGGGCCTCGCAGGAGCAATGCCTGCCACCCGGTGCTCAGCACACAGCTTTGCTCTGACTGTGGCTGCCCAGGCTCTCTGAGTGCTAGGGACGAGAAACCAGCACTGTTCTGTATCTACTCCACTCCAGGATTCTATCCAGTTAGTAACTTGTCTGATCCTTGGGCACTCCAGGAAAGACATGAATGACAATTCAATGACTCAGTCTTTTTTTTGCAAGCCTGTTCTGAGGTCTGACAAATCCTGACATTTATGGAATGAATCTAAGTAATTTGTTGTTGCTGTATGCATATCTGTTCCTCGTCCACCTCCTACAGGGAGCGGATGGTTCCCTAGACCCTCTTCACTGCCATGGCAAAATGCCCGCCCGTGGTAGTGGGGACGGAAGCCAACTGCACTCGGGTGAAATGGTGCCAGTCAGGGATGCCCACCAGTGCTGCAGGGCACAGGGGTGGCAGCACTCGTGCCAGTAATTTGCGATCTCTTTCCAGTCCTGTAATTGTCTGCACCCTTTACTGGAGAAGACGGCCTTGCAGGATGCGTGCTGATGGTTGGGAGGTGAGTGGGAGCTGTGGCAATCGGAACATCCAGCGGCAGCTGCAGGAAGGGACCTCTGGGGACAGTAAGCTCCCTGGCATCAGGGACAGACTGGGGGAGTGGGTGCATGAGGATTATTCTGCAATGTCCATCCTGGCCTTTGAAGACAGGCTTGTTAACTAATGAACTTATTTAGTAAACAATAAATTATTTATAACATGGGGCCTGACTACCGGACAATGCATTTATGGATACATTTTCCCTCAGCAAGGAGGCGTGGGTGAGGAGAGGGAGAAAGTGGAAGGAATACTCTAGACTGTGTATTCTGTTCCTATCGCTGAGGGCGTCTAGGGGGAGGTGTTTATAATATAAAGAAACAAGGAGCACTCAGCACAGTGTGGCATCTGTAAGACGGCTTGTTACGGGAGGAGCTTCAGAATGCCTCCAGCTCTCCTGTTCCGGGCTGTGGGCCCTCTCTGTAGGCACTCCCTCCCACATGCCCAGGTGCCAGGGCAGGAGGGCCCCTCCAGAGGGCAGCCACCCCAGAAGGATGGAGCTAGTCCTGGCACTGGGCACATAGTTTGGGGAAGACCAGGCTATGGTGCATGTCTGCTTAGCCTGGAGGTGGGAGAGTGAGAACCATATGTGCTCCCAGGATCTCACCATCCATCACCTCTTTCCCAGCCCCACCCACCAAAGCCCGCCCGCCTGGAGACATGCTGTCCCTGAGGGGAACCCATAAAACGCCTGACACCTGGGTCATGTTCTCGGATTGTCTCATGAGAATGCAGAGCAGACAGTGGGCACCTATGGGGCTAAAACAACTGCCCTGAAGTCAGCACGAGTTTCTAGCCAGTTCTGGCATCGGGACTTAGAACCTGGGGCAGGTCCTTATGGCTCTGGGCCTTTTCTCGTCAGCCAACGAGAGGGATGGGGGGGGGTGTGCATTGAAGAGTCTCGTGAGGACTAAATGCCATGGACAAGAAATGGCCTCATGGCACGTGAGCGAATAACCGTGCAGGAACGTACTGATGTCCAGCCATATCTCTAGGGGCAGGGCTGAGTTCCCTCTTTCTTACACTCTCTCTCCCGCTGGGGCCCAGAGTGCAAAAGCTCCGGCCTGCGCTGCAGAGCCTACAGCTTCCTGGGCGCCTGGTCCAGCAGTCACACAATGAGAAGGGTGGGCCAGGTGAGAGTCAGACTCCCTTCTGGTTTCAGAAGTCCAGTTCTCTCTCACCCGGGTCTCCTATTCTCCCAGGTGCTCGGTGCTGCTGCTTGATTGGCCGTCTACTCTGTTTCCTGTCCCTGACTCTGACTCCAGGGTACCGACCCAGTGGCTGTGGTGGCGCACCAGGGATGGCATTTCTATGAAACAGACAGGTTGGGAGCAGAGAAGACCTACCTGTGTAGCACAGCGGCAGCTTCCTCCGCAGGCACGGCTCGTCATTCCACTTGCCGGGCTCCGACGGGCTCTTGATGTAGATCTCCACGCAGTCCTGGTTGTTCTTCTTGTTGTTGGGCTCGTGCTCGGCCCAGTTCTCCGCCTCCGGGGTGAGCGTCTTGTTGGTCCCCACCCAGGTCCATTTGCCATTGATCTTCCGGATCCCGATCCAGTAGTAGTGTCTGTAGTACGGGATGGCGTCGTTGAGGTACGCGATCTCCTCTCTGTTCTGGATGGCCACCAGGTCGGTGAAGTACTTCTGGCAGAATCTCCGGGAGGCGTCCCAGGGGTAGGCCTTGGTGCCGATGTGATAGGTCCACGCGGCCACTCCGGTCTGGCTCATCAGTTCTGGGGAGGGAGAGGGAGGGCCGGTGAGTCGGCGTTTCTAGCCGGAGGGGCGTGAGCGTGAGCATGGCTCCGTGGAGCTGGAGGAGTTTCTGACCGGAGGACCAGTGCCCCGAACATGACCCTTTATGTCTAACCTGATTGTTTTAGGGAAAGAGTGGGTTCCATCTTTCACTTAAAAGTGAGCATGAAGCCGAAACCAGTTTGGCTCAGTGGTAGAGCGTTGGTCTGTGAACTGAGGGGTCCCAGGTTTGATTCCGGTCAAGAGCATGTACATTGGCTATAGGCACCTCCCCGTTGGGGGATGTGCAGGAGGCAGCTGGTTGATGTCTCTCTCTTAGATGTTTCTAGCTCTCTCTCCCTCTCCCTTTCTCACTGTAAAAACTCAATAAAATATATTTAAAAAAAAAAAAAAAAGTGAGCATGAAGCCACAATAGGAAAATGCCCTCTTGGGGTCATAAGATACCAGAACCGGAAGGGATCTTAGAAATCATCTAATCGCCTCCTTTTGTGAGGGGAGGGGGCATGGCAAGTCACTTGCCGAGTTTACATTAAATGACACGTGAAAGGTTTGGATGGTGGCCTCAGATCTACAGGTCCCAGCTGTTCCCATGGGAACTAAGATGCGGCCTGCTGGTTCTGTCCTCACCCACCACAGTTACTTTCTTAGCACAGCCAGGCCTGGGCACAGCTCTTCCTGCTGCCCGGGCTGCCGTCCCCCGTGCCTGCTGCCCTCTCCCCCGGGTTCCTGTGACCCCCAGGCGAGCGTGGCGTTTTTCCCTCCGGCCTCCCTGCCTCCACTCCGCCTCCACCTTTCTGTCGTAGTGTCTGTTTCTATGACCCGTCCACCCCTGTGGAATGTGACTCCGGACGGGGTCTCTTTAGAGCTCTGGCTCCTTCACAGGCTCCATAAGCGCTGGCCGTGACCCCCACAGGCTGGGGCAGCGGCGGGTTGGACAGCAGCCCCGGCGGGCAGTTCTGCACTCATCCCACTGCTCCTGGCTGTTTCTCTTTGATAAGTTACTTCCTCCATCTCTGCTTACTCACGTGTCAGTAAGTAAGGACCTCTGAAAGGGTTCTTGGGGATGTGAAATGAAATAAAGAATGTGCCCTTCAGCGTGTGAGGGACTGACATGATGGTGCAGCGTCATCACAGCCAGCAGAGCCCGGCAAGCGGAGGCCGTGCCCGGGGGGAGAGGCGGACCCCCAGCAATCAGGCCTGGAAGCGGCTCCCTTTCCTGTTTATAAAGTCTTCTTCCTCCGCAGCCTCCGCGGGAGGCGCTGAGTGTCCCTTCCCACTGACACCTTTGCTGATTGTTTTGCCATAAGACTTTGTTCTGCGATTGCCAGGGCTGTGTTATGACTTCCACCGGCTCCAGGGAATTCTGCCTTTGTGAGTGCCTTCTTCCATAATGTTTACTAAAAACTGTCTGTCAGCCTGGCCGGTGTGGCTTAGTTGGGGAGCATGGTCCTATACTAGGAGGTGATGGTTTGATTCCAGGTCAGGGCACAGGCCCAGGTTGCAGACAGATCCCTAATGGGGGGCGTGCAGGAGGCAGCTGGTCAATGATTCTCTCTCATCATTGATGTTTCTCTCTCTCTCTCCCTCTCCCTTTCTCTCTGAAATCAATTTAAATAGATTTTTTAAACAAATAACTGCATTGGCACAAAAAAGAATCTATTAATATTGTATCCTGTAAACTTTTTCTTTGACCCAGTAACAGAAGGAAACATTTTTTAAAGAAATTGTGTGTCTGTCAGAGTAGCGTGGGCCTGGGCCTGCTGTGCTGATGGAGGGGGAACTCGGTCCCTGTCCAGCAGTGGGATGGTGGTGGGTGCATTTTTCCTTCCAGGAATCTGGGCTCAGACAGCTCCCCATCCTCACCCCAGCCGGCTCCCATCCCTAACTTCTCCCACTCGGAGACGTCACCCTAACCCCTCGGGGCCACGCGCAGGGTTCGCGGGAAGGTTACCAGAGAGCAGGGCACTGAGGCGGAGGAGCTGGGCAGCTCTGAAGGCCAGGCCCTGAGACCTCCAGTTCCAGGCGGCGCTTGGGCAGCGAGCCTGCAACAAAAAGAGAGAGCATCCTCTCAGGGCGGGGCGCACTCCCGTGCAGAGCGGCGATGCTGGGCTGCCAGCCTGCCCGTGTCCACTACGGGGGTGGCCGAGCCCTCTCCCCACTTCCTGTTCCTCACTGCTCTGCCTCTGAGTCCCATTCTGGCTGGACTCCAGGCCTATTTCTCCCTTCACTCAACGCAAATGTATTGAGCAACTGTTTCGTGCTATTTACGTTGTTCTTTGATAATACATTTTGTAAAGTGATTGTAGAGAAAACACTGTCACTATTGTTTTGCAATAATCTCCCTTTAGGAACTGGCACACCGCACCCAGGGGGAATGGGAAATCGCATGAAAAGTGCCTGAGCCACCCTGGTGTGCTAAGCATTTCAGCAATTAGCTTATGGGTGCCAGGAGGTGACAAAGGTGGAAGGTCTAGTCTCACCTCCTGATATTACCCCTATCTCACCTCCTGGTACTCACCCTCCACCCCCCAAACAGATTCTGCAGCCAAACGTAGTGCATGTTCCTGGACGTGCTGCATGTTCTCTGCGTCCTCACGCCCGGAGCACCCCCTCCTCCCACATGTGCCCCACTCTGCAGTCCACACACCTCCTCCGAGGAGCTGCCCCCACCACGCCCTCCCTCCCACGCCAGGCAGCTCCCTCTCCCCGCCCGCGCTCTTTCCCACTGCACTCAGTAACTGCTGATTTACTAAGTGTCAGCCTTTGTTCAAGGCACTGGTGTTAAAATGACAAAAACCGACATAATTCCCGTCCTTGTGGAATGTAGTGATGAAGACTATTGAGGAAGACAGACAATAAAACAAACATCAGCAAGTAGGCAGCAGTGCCAAACGAGGAAACAGGACAGGACGAGTAGAAGGCAGCTGTAAGGGGCAGGGAGGGAGTGAAGGTGGGGTCATGGGACAGAATGCCCGGCAGTTACGTTAGACGGGGAGGCTAGGGCAGGGGACGCGCAGCCAAGAGCACAGAGACACAGGAGGAAGCTCAGTGAAGACCGAAGGAACGCGATCGTGAAGGCTCTGGGAGGGCGTTAAGAGTGGAGAGTTCGGAGAACAACACGTCCTCAGGGTGGCTGGCACGGGACGGGCAAGGGGGAGAAGGGTGTGAGGTGAAGCTGGTGACGTGTCACCCTGGGAACCATAACAGTGGGGTGAGACTTTGTTCTGGTGCAATGAGAAGCTGGAGGTGGCGGGTCCGGGAGATGGGGCTTCAGAGAGGGAGTGGTGTAGTCTGATTGCTGCTGAGACAGGAAGGGGCCAGAGCTTGTGAGTCTGAAATGACAATCGCAGAAGGACTCCCATAGCCAGAGAAGCATCCTGAACAGCTGCATCGGACCGTGGTGTGGGGTGAATGGGGAGCAGGAGGGGGCGCTGTAAAGGCAGCAGGCCGCGGTGACAGTGACAGTGACAGGCCTGCTGGGCCGGGCCGGCGGAAGTGCTCCCGGGAGCACAGGTGGCGGTCACTGTGGAGGCAGGGCTTGTCCGCAGCGTCCAGGTTCCCAGCCGATGGGATAGTAGCTCCCTAGGTCTCAGGGTGGTGGTGGTGCACGGGTGGTCGCAGCCCCACATAAAAAGTACAAAATGAAACAGTGGAAAAAAGAGGTCGCTAAGCTGAACAGAAAATTAGAACTAGAAACCGGAGGAATCCCAAGACATCAACACCAGGAATTAAAGCATATATTTCAATTAGACCACTGGTCGCCATTACTCAGTATGAAATAGCGCCATTAAAAAGAAAGTAACATGTAATTTTTTTAAAAAGTCCGTTGGCTAATGGCTGAGTTATCTCCCCACAAATATAAAGGGTTGTTTTGCATTTGATGTCATAAAATTTCTGTTTTGCCTTTCGATCAGAGAAGTTAGTCTCCTCAGAGTGCCGTCTGTGAAACTATCCTGTGCCTACCCTCTGAGCCAGGGTGGGGAACCTCTCTCTGCCAAGGGCCACGTGGACATTGATAACATCTCTCAAGGGCCACACAAAACTTAAACATTAGCCCGCTATTTTGGTCAAACATTTAATTACTCACCCCTAATGCCTCGGCAGGGCCAGACCCAATGATTTCCCGGACTTTATAAGGGAGTCCCTGAGCCAGCCATTCCCCACCCCTGCTCCAGGGTGAGGTCCGGGGTCTTCTCTCAGCGCTGACGGTTACACAGAAAGTCCTTGCGATCTCGGCGGGAAAGATAAGCTCCCGCTCACAGAGCTATGAAGCTGGACATGCTAACAGCCAGTGGCCAGCCCAGGAAAATATGAACCATTTAGCTGTGTTTTGAAAAACAAGTAACGGAAGGAAGAGTAAGAACTAGATGCCACAGGCCTAAGGTGGTTCGAGGTATAAATGGAAGAGAATCCAACCCGGCTGGTGTGGCTCAGTGGTTGAGTTTGTCTCATGCACCGTGGTCGCCAGTTCGATTCCCTGTCAGACACATGCCCCAGTTTTGGGCTCCATCCCCAATAGGCAGGAGGCAGCTGATGGATGTTTCTCTCTCAGCGGTGTTTCTGTCTGTCTCTCCTTCTCCTTTCCCTCTCTAAAAAAAATTAATATATTTTATACTTAATATATTTTAAAAATAAATAAATGAAAGAGAATCCAGGCCTGCTCCTTAGCTCCTGGAACCTTGACTAACATTAGCACCATTTTCCTGTATGTTTCCATCAAGAGCTCCACCTCCAAGCGCTACCTGCCTGCGAACGCCCCACTGCTAAGCCCTAACCTCTCTCCTCAGCTCCTGGGCGCTGGTGGAAGCCACTCTCTGAACTTGAGCCAAGTTACACACAGGGTGTGAGGTTCCTGAATTCCTGAAAGTCAAATGTGTTAAAGAGCAAAGGAAGAGAGAGGTCTGGCCTCTGTGACTTGAAAACAATCCCAGGGCAAGGGGCCCTGCACTTCACTGCGGCCCCGTCTCGGTGGAGGACGCCACAGGAGTTTCTGAGCATAAAGCCCGGATGGCGATGGGGTGGGGCTCTCCACCTGGGCCCCGCATGGAGGTTGGGGCCCCCTGTGGTTTTCCACAGAGCGTGGTGTTTCTGTGGATGCCTTCATTTATCTGAGAAGAGGACTTCTTTCCTCGGAATCTCAGAGAACGCCAAGCCCCGATAGGATGACCATCCCCCGGAAACAGAGGAGGGTCCCGAAGGGAACAGAAGGAAGAGAGGGATGACTGCTCAGTCATTCAAGTTGGCCAATTCAGGAAGCCTAGGACACGCCAAAGATAAGACAAGAGTGAGCCACGTGCTTATGCCATCCGGATTCAACCTCAGGCCAGGCTGAAACCCTTTCCTCTTCTCTTCATCGCTCTCTACCCTCTCCCGACAGAGTCCTCGGTACACGAATCACCAAAGCGTCCTCATGACAGGAATTATCAAAGCGTCCTCATTACAGGAATTAGCAAAGCACGCTATGATTGCGCAGGGAGGCGGGTGAATCAGGTGCGAGGCGTCCCAGGGAAGAGGCTGTAGCCCTGGGCCTGGGGGAGGTACCCCTGGTGAGCTGGGGTAAAAGCCCCCTGTGTCTTATCTCAGCGGATGTTAGTGGATTAAGGCCTTTCTCCTGGGATCTTCCCTGGACCCAGGCCTCCCTAAACCCTGGCATTATCTTTCTCCTAAGGACCACGGGGAACCTTTATTTATCAGCAGCCACAGGCCAGGCTCAGAGCACTTGCTTTCAGCGTCATCTCACTTCACCCCCATCCTGACCCGATAGAGCAGAATACTACTTAATCATTTCACAGATGAGGAAACTGAGTCCCCGGCAGGACTGAGACTTAGGGCAGCGATGGAGACCATGTGGACACTTCCCCCCTTCCCCCACTAGTCCCAGCAGATGCCCCGGGCCCAGAGACAGAAACCTGGAGGCAGGGGATGGGAAACCCATTGGCCGTAGGTGAGCCCCAGGCACCTGCTCAGCCTTGCGTTCAACCCAGAGAGGAGAGCATCCCTGGAGAAGGGCCCCGAGGTGGAGAAGGGAGTCCCTGTGGGCCCTCCTGGATGCCAGAGGCCAGGAGCCCAGGGGCAGACAGCGCCACACCTAACCATGCCCCTTCGGTGAAACCCCGGCTCAGCCTGGCATCGCGGCTGCACGGGACCCTGGGAATCACCTCCGCTCCGGAGGGCGCTGGGAGGGTGAGTCAGGCTTTGGCGGGCTTTGAACAGCTCACACACTCAGAGGACCAGTTCACAGAGAACCCTGTGGCTGCTGCTGTCCCTCATTTCCTAACCTGGCCCCTGTCCCGTCCAGCCCCGAACCCCTGCAGCCCGCCCGCCGCCCACAGGAGAGAGACGCGGACTTACCATCTCCTCTGTGCCCAGCCAGTTCTGCCTTCGTCGGCCCAGCCCAGGCACCTCCCGTTCTTATAGTCTCGCTGCCTGCCCTCGGTGTCAGCTGTTTACAGCAGCAACTTCCTACTCCCTTGCCAGAATTCCACCACAGCCCTTCCCACGAAGGGAGAGCTGATAACCCAGGAGCAGGGCTGGCAGCTGCCAGAGCAGTGGCCGGGGGGCGGGGGGGTCCCCCACTTCCAGGGGGATGCTCTGGAGACGGGCAGGTGTGACTCACCGCCGGGCATCCCCTCGGAGCAGGCAGGGAGAGCACCCACGCCCAGGTCAGGTCCCCTGTGACGATGGCAGGAGCCCACCGTAAGGTCACTTATTTGGAAAGCCAGATCCGTCTTGACTGTAAAGGCTTAGTGTCCATTTTCCACTTCTTATGAGGCCTTGGTGCTGCCTCTCTGCCAACAGCCTTCGGGGGAGGGAGCGAGAACAGCAGCACAATGACGAAGGAGGGAGGGATGGGAAAGGCCACGGAGGGCTTTCTGGCCACAGTGGGCCAAGGAGATTGTTGGAAACAGTTTTTGTTTTGTTTTTTAATAACTCTTTATTGTTCAGATTATTACAAATGTGTTCCTCTTTCCACCTACCCCTCAATTGCTCCCCTCCACCAGGTTCCCACCCCACCCTCTGCCCTTTCCCCACCCCCCATTGTCCTCATCCATAGGTGCACAGTTTATGTTCAGTCTCTTCCCATATCCCCTACTCCCCTTTCCCCCCGAGAATCGTCAGTCCATTCCCCTTCCATACCACTGATTCTATTATATTCACCAGTTAATATTGTTCATCAGGTTTTTTAATTCCCTTGGTTTTAGTTTCACTTGTTGATAGTTATGTATTTGTTGTTCATAATTTTTATCTTTTATCTTTATCTTCTTCTTTTTCTTCATAGAGAACCTCCTTCAGCAATTCATATAATTTTGGTTTGGTGGTGATGAACTCCTTTAGCTTTTTTTTTTTATTATTATTATTTGTGAAGCTCTTTATCTGGCCTTCAATTCTGAATGATAGCTTTGGCTGTAGGTTCTTGCTATTCATCACCTTGAATATTTCTTGCCATTCCCGTCTGGCCTGCATGGTTTCTGTTGAGAAATCAGCTGACAATTGTATGGGTGCTCTTTTATAGGTAACTACCTGCTGTTCTCTTGCTTCTTTTAATATTCTCTCTTTGTCTTTTGCTCTTGGAATTTTAATTATGATGTGTCTTGGTGTGGTCCTCTTTGTAGTCCTTTTGTTTGGGGTTTTGTGAGCTTCCTGGACTTGTAAATCTATTTCTTTCCCCATGTGGGGGAAGTTTTCTGTCACTATTTCTTCCAGTATTCTTTCAGTATCTTGCTCTCTCTCTTCTTCTGGGACCCCCATAATTCTGATGTTGGTTCTCTTGAAATTGTCCCAGAGGTTTCTTACATTATCTTCAACTTTCTGGATTCTCTTATCTTCTTGCTTCTGTGGAGGAGTGTCCTCTGGCTCTTTGTGTTCTAAATTTTTGTCTTGATTCTTGTAATCTTCCTTTCAGTCTGTTTTTAGGACTCTGTGTAATATTTTTTATTTCAGACAATGTTTTCTTTATTTCTAATTTATCCCTTTTTATTTCTAGTTGATCCCTTTTCATATCTTCATAGGTCTCATTTATTTTATAGGGCTTTTTTAGGAAAATTCTTGAAAAACCTTATAACTGTAGTTTTGAACTCAATGTCCATTCTTATCTTTTCCTCCACCTTCTTCCTTTGTGTCCTGCCTCTTCTCTGCATTTTAGTTGTTTTCCTAATTTGATGGAATAGTCTTGTGAGCTAGGTGTTCTGGTAGAGCCCAGTAGCACAGCCTACCCAGTTACCTGCGGTGGACAGTCTTGGTGTAGCCCTTTGTGGGCTGTGTGTGCAGTCTTGTTGTTAAGCCTTGCTTATTGTTGGTATCACTGGGAAGCGTTGATCTCTAAGCCAGTTGGCTGTGAGGATCAGCAATGTCTCAGCTAGGAGAGCTTCTGTACTCCACTTGGATGGGGTGGAGTCTCAGGTGGCGTAGACAAGCTTTGGTTCCCTGACACTCTTGCCTTAGGAAAGTCTTGTTCGCAGTGAGTATCGCAAGATTGGTTGCAGGCGCGCACCTCTTTGGTAAAGGCACAGACAAGCTTTGGATTCCGGTCAGTCCCTCCTTAGAGAAAGCCAGCCTCTGGGAGAGCTTCTGAGCTCAGTTTGGATGGAGCATAGTCTCAGTGTGGTGCAGACAAGATTTGTTTTCCCATCGGCCCCTCCCCAAGTCCCGCAGTAATGGCCACTGGCTTCACACACCTCCGAGAGATCTCTGCCTACTGCCTGACAGTCTGGCCTCTCCCTGACTGGGTCCGTCTATCAGAGCAATAGGGTGATTCTGTTTTCCTCCCAAACAAGAAAGCCAGCCGTGTGTTAGCTGTCTGCCCTCTCCACGCGCCAGGAGTAAGCCAGCACCTTTTTGCGTGCACAGTTCTCTGCACCTTCGCAGTTTCTGAGGTTCAGCATGCCTTCTCTCTCCTTCCCAGATGGCAGAGCCTCCTCTCAGCCAGCCATCCGGTGCTTCAGGGCAATGCCTCCCCTGTTTCCCAGTTCTAAATTCAAATTTGTTGTGGTAGGCTGCATTCGGGTGTCTACCCGATGCCGCTATCTTGGTTTCTCCCTGGAAACAGTTTTGAAATGAAATCTGAAGCAGACATGGGGCCCTGGCCTGTGTGGCTCAGTGGGTAGAGTGTCTCCCTGTGGACTGAAGGGTCCTGGTTCTATTCCGGTCAGGGGCATCTACCTTGTTGCAGGCTCCTCCCCGGCCCAGGACCTGGTTGGGGCCTGGGCAGGAGCAACCAGTGGACGTGTCTCTCTCACATGGATGTTTCTGTCTGTCTTTCCCTCTCTTTTCCACTCTCCCATAAATCAGTGGGAAAATATCCTCTGGTGAGGATTTAAAAAACAACAACACAGACATGGGTCATTATTAGGAAGGAACTTCTGCTTCTTTTATCAGAAAAAGATGTAAACATGGGAGGGTCGGCACATGGGAGTGGAAGGTGTGTAGTGCAGCACGAGACAGGCACTGTGACCACACTGCCCAGGCTGAGTGTGCCTCCTCCCTGCCCAGTGTGCCTCATCCCTGCCGAGTGTGCCTCCTCCTCTGAGTGTGCCTCCTCCCTGGATGAGCATGCCTCCTCCCTGCCCAGTGTGCCTCCTCCCTGACTGAGTGTGCCTCCTCTCTGGATGAGCATGCCTCCTCCCTGGCTGAGTGTGGCTCCTCCCTGCCCAGTGTGCTTCCTCCCTGCCCAGTGTGCCTCCTCCCTGCCCAGTGTGCCTCCTCCCTGGCTGAGTGTGGCTCTCCATTAGACAAGTGACTGAGAAGCTCAGGGCCTCCGCTGATGGGGCTGGGAGACAGACTTGCCCTGAGGGCTGCGAGGTGGGGATGAATCCATCCCGGTAGCAGCTACCGCCGGAGCCCCAGGTGAAACCACGAAGGGCACTCAGCCTGCCTCGAGTCATTGTCACTTTTCACACTTGCTGTCAGACAACACAAGCAAATATCAAATATTTCCAGTCAAACCAGAAAACCATCCCTGCGGCTTCTCTCGGAATCCTGGCTCGCAGAGTGTGGCTGCCTCCACCCCCCCACGAGCGTTCCAGCTCGTCTGTGGGCATCTATTGGCCGGAGTGAACCTGGAGGGAGACAGGACGGTCTGGAGGGGGGCCTGGGACCAAGAGGCCTCAAGGAGCTGGGAGCTGCACTAGGACCTGGGGGCCGAGAGGAAGGGATTTCATGGCAGAAACGCAAAGCCTGGTGAAGGAGGTGGTGATGAAAAGAGAGAGGGGCCAGGGAACGGGGCTCCCTCTCCTCTCCCCTCCCCCCCCCCGCTTCCCCACCCAGGAGCCAGACAGCTGGGCTCCACCAGCCCCCAGCGGTGTGACCTGGGCCAGTTACCCCTGTGACTCAGTTCCCTGAGCGTACTCATAGACAAGGAAACTAGTCACCCCCAGTCCCCGAGCACAGTGCTGGGACACCTCGCTGGGCTTGCACATCAAGTGCCCAGAACAATCCCTGGCTGGCGGAGGGCGCCAAGGGCGAGGTCCGGCTTCCCTGTGCTTGTGCTCCTCTCGCCTCCACTTCCTCTGCTCTCGCTCTCAGCTCAGCCCTTTTCCCGGCCTCTTCCCTCTCCGAGCTTCTCAGCGGGGTGTGAGGGCAGCGGCAAGGCAGGCTGCAGGTTCTAAAGCTGGACTCTGTATTTGAAGCTGGATATCAAATGTTAAGCGTTCTCGGGGAAGCAGGAAAAGATCCCAGGGATAGGAGGGGGCGGGAAATGCCGTTTCAAAGCTGTTCAGGCTGAACACCGTTTGCTCATCTGGCTGTCGTCCCCGGTCCCAGGTAGATCCCGGGAAAGGACCTGAGTGTTATCCAAGGCGGCCCTCGAGATGAACTTTAACTGGGCAGGTGTTGGGACATTCAAGCAGTTGCTAGTGAAGCGGCAAATCCTGATCTGTGGGGTACACATGCCTCATGTCCTTAATATCACACTTTTAAGTTTCAAGAAAGGTAACTCAAACCTTTTAAAACCTTTTTGACATTTTTAAACTTTTTTAAACATTTCTATATTTTATAATACTACAACATCGCCATAGAGCCGTGGTCGGCAAACTGGCTCGTGAGCCACATGCGGCTCTTCGGCCCCTTGAGTGTGGCTCTTCCACAAAATACCACGGCCTGGGTGAGTCTATTTTGAAGAAAGTGGCGTTAGAAGAAGTTTAAGTTTAAAAAATGTGTCTCTCAAAAGAAATTTCAATCGTTGTCCTGTTGATATTTGGCTCTGTGGACTCATGAGTTTGCCGACCACTGCCATAGAGCATTTAGGTGGTTTCCAGGTATGTGGCCATGAAACCCACAATTCCAACAAAATGTAATCAGATGTGTCATCTGGTTCACATATGTTTTCTGTCTTCACGGTGGACTGCAGATCCCTGGGG